CCTTCTGGTCTATTAAGCATAAACTAAGAGTAAACACTTCTGTATTTCAATCTCTTGCTAAGTGTTATCGCCACGACGTTTTGCAGTTTGGTTCTCTTTTCACGTAGTTGTTTTCCTATGATTCCTGCTCTGTTCGTGTTGCCTGTTACAAATGAACTGACATTTGTTTCTTGAAAACCTGGAAAAAAAGCCAGGTCAGCATCGTGTGATTTGGGGCAGTGCTGTTCAGCTTTTGAACAAAGCTTCTAAAATCTTAAAACAGCTGAGCTACTGCTAACAGTCGTGCCCTGAGAAACGTTAGTGGCGCTGGTGCAACATCTCTCCAGGCTAGCTGACCGGGAGAACTTGGAATACCGCAGTGTGAGAAATCACGTCCTTGTAAATTTATTGTAGATACGTTGCGTGCAGAGCAGTGCGTAACAGAAAAGGTTTTTTTTTTCCTACTCGAGGTGTCTGAAATATCATAAGTTCAAGTGGGATCGGTTAACAGTTATTTGCATTTCCTTAATTTTCCTTCATTTGTCCTGCTATACTGATCTCGTAATAGGAAATTGCCACAGCGGAAAGGCAAGTACTTCAAGTTCTGGAAGTTATTTTTAAGGGTTAAAACATTGGCCAAAATGGACTTCTAGTCTAACTTATTTGTTACTATTTTGGGTTTCAAGTTCAAACCGATCTCCCAAGCTATCATTCAAAACGCTGGAACAGAATATTCTTGAATATCAAAGACCATAGGAAAGCAACATGTTTTCCATTCAGAAAGAAATAAATTATGGGTGTTTTCTGAAGCTACATGAAGCCTGACTTGATTAAAACTAGAGAAGCCTACTAGGAGATCTTCCTGTTTTGGTTCTGTTAGTTCATCACTGTCCCGAAATAGCACAGCCTTCATGTTCCAGCCATGAACTTTTTCCAAAAATGAAATGCGTAACATATTTTTCAAAGATAGGCATGAAAATCCAATGGAGATCCAGGAGACATCACCACACTTCTAACATCTTTAAGTGAACTCTCCAAAGCCAGTAGAGGCTTGGATGAGGTAATTAGTTTATAAACTGAGTGGTTCCAAGATTGGAAACTGTCTGGTAGTGTCTCACATTGGCTTTCTACATCCAGAACAGAAAAAATGCTCTTTAATATTCATTCAGGTAACACCCATCCTGTTTCATTCGTGTTCTCTCCTACCTTCCATAACTTCAGGGGGTTGTGTTACGTTCTTTGGCTCTTCCTCATTTTTGGATGATCGCTTAGATGTTGATTTGTTTCCTGAAGGAGAAGTCTTGGGTGGTGGCTCTGTTGCCTCTGCTGAAAGAAATAAAATAATCTCTTCGCTGGAGTGCTTTTCTCTATAGATGCAGTTGACTCTGTGCAGTGTCAACTATATAATAATCATGTGATATAGAACTTCAATGACCCTTTCCCATATAAATTTAATTTTCCTCCAATCCCTAAGATTCTTCAAAATATTTTTGGAAAAAAAAAGAGAACATACACTTAAATGTATCCTTTGGATCCCTAAGTGTTAATCAAAGATTGGAGAAATATTTTTCTCAAGAATTTCCTAATGCGGAGTTTTGAGGTGGGAAAAGGATTAATTCTGAGAAGAGTCTTATGTTCTGAAAATTTGCCTAATTTTTTTTTTTTTGCCTACAATTTATTTCTTAACTGTGGATGATTTGGGGCTAACTTGCAAGCCTTTTTTGTAAGGGATCTCTGAGAGCTACCATGTTAGCCAAGCGTTTACTTTGATAATCACCTGCAGATTTAGTCATATTGTAGTTTTTCACATATCCGATCATTTTGCACAAACATGATAATTTCAGGGACACTTTTAAAAAAAATACTTCCCTTGAAAGAAACGGAAGCCACTGCGTAGGTATGGATCAAAGAAGCCATGCAAACTGTAAATATTAAGCTAACTTCTAGCAGATTGAGTTTTAGGAGAAACTGAAGGTTTGTGTTCAGCTATCCATTTCTGGAGTTTTCATAGGGTTTCATCTGCATCCAGTAAGAGCCAGAAAATTTTCAGTTCAGCCCTAGGTCAAATTGTACCTATGGAAGTGAGACCCTGTTATTTATCTCACTCTCCTCCCACAACTGTAGCCTCATACAAGGATCCATTCATTAGTCATGAAACAACATGGTAGATCTCAGGGGACTTGCAGGATCTTTCTGATGCAACCAGATGAACCGGTAAATCCCATGGCTGTGTGCAATCACTCTGGCACAAAACAAATGGTACTTTTGTTTCATAGGTAATGACCATGAAGTCAAAGGATTTACTTTTGTAGCAAGCTAGTACTCGGCGAGTAAGGTTCATTCCAGGTGGTGGAGCGTATCCTGAAGCTTCCGGTGAGAAAGGGAGAGAAATTGTAATTGGTGAATGAAAGCCCTTGGAGCTGAATCAACTTGCAGAGAAGTCGAGGCAGAGGGGGGAGTGTTTAATCAGTCCTTAATTTGTTTGCTTGTGTATTTGGGGATTTGGGGGCTTTTGGAGGAACAGAAAGAGAAAAGGTATCCCTAGATATAGGCTATAAACTTACTCTTTCGATTTTGTGGGCCTGATTCCTACGCTGGAGAATGATTTACTTTAAAATTTCTTTCTCCAGTTACAGCAAAGTTGTTACAGGATTTGATGTATTTAATTCCACTTCTCATCCTTTTAAATCCCAGCCTGTATCCCACAAAGGATTGCAAATGTCAGAATGTGTGCTAATATGCACAAAAAGGGAGCGCTGCTGCGATGTAGATCTTGTACATGTAGATCTTGTAGATCTTGTCAGATACTAGCTAGACAGTAGGATCATGTGGTTAGAACTTCAAACAGTTGAGACGCATACTGTCACTTGATGTGAAAATATACTAAAATGAAATATTCACTGAAAAACCTTATAGGTGATTGTAAAATGAAATGAAAGGTTTTTATAAGACATCAATCTGAGGAAGAATGAGTTTTAAACCTGGCTTTTTTTTTCCCCCTCCTCTTTTATTAAAAAAAAGTATAATCTTAAGCAGTAAACAGAATAAGAGATGGCCATAGAATAGATCTTAAAAAAAAAAAAAAAAAAAAAAAGGCAGAGAAGCAAGTCTCTATCTCTTCTTAAACCTTAGTCAGTGTTAAGAAACTGAAAGCAACCTTAGTTCCATGCTACAGAGCAAAGCGTTCAAAAGATACAGAAACAACAAAACAAAAGTTCGCCTCTTGCCTGCATGTTATTGCGTTATTCCAAAGAGTTTAACTGGCTTCTCACAGTTATTCACACATGGCAGAATACTGGATACAGCGGTATTGTGTTTTCTTGTTTTGTTTTGTTTGGAGAAAATTAGTACCAAAACCAAGTAACTAAAATGCCAGGAGAAGGAGCAGTTGCGAGGCTCTGTGGCCTTGGAATGCCACTGCTACTGTTTTGGGGGAATTTTGTCCAATATAAAACTGGATAAATGACATAGCTATCTAAGATTTCCAGGAGAACAAATTCTTTTTATTTCTTCTGTTCTCCTACGTCACGTAATGCCTGACCTCCAGGCACCCGGCCCGAGGTGCTCCCCGATAACAGATAATCCAGAGCAGGGAGCTATGCGCCGAGCGGCCCTGGCCACCACGTGGCCATGGTGAGGGGCCTCACAAGATGACTGTGAAAGTCGACGTGCTGCCTGGGGGGTCGGTTGGGGTGAACCCCTCCTGACCATCCCCCGGGTGCAGGTACCAGAACTGGGTCTGCAAGGGAAGAGCCTCGCCGCGCAACCCGCGCGTGATAGCGGCTGCGCGCGAGCCTTCGGGGAAAGAACCGAGCTGAGGTGACTCTCTGAAAGCGATGGTATTGTATAGCAGCTTTGTGGCAGAGTGCTCGGTAGAGGAAGGAGTTCACCGACCGCCCTGCTCTCCTGGCTGGAAAGGAGGCTGAGAGGAGCCCGTTTCCCCTGCTGCCTGGCGCAGTGCAAAAGGCAATGCAGAAATCGCAGGTTTATAGGACAAAAGCAGAGGGTGGCACGTGGCTGCAACCGATAAAGCTGCCCGCTGGGAAAGCTGTATTGCAGTCTTTGCTCTTGAGACCGTGCAGGCATTTCACACGAACCTTGCTCCCGAAAAAATGGACCTTTTCCTTAGACCTGGAGACCCTCTCCCCACTGTTTGGTCTAAGCTCCGAGTTACAGCTACATGCTTGGATTCCTCAGCTGGAGGAGCAGCAAATAACCCACTCGCATCATGGCTGCGGACTTTTCCTGGTGGGCTATATGCTAATTTTTGTCCCTGCTGCCCCTGTAGAAAGTTACTGCGCGTTGTGCTGCTCCTGGTGGCATGTGCTGGGCTGGGCCTGCGTGGGGACTCGCGTGCTTGTGTTTCTGCCTGTCCGCAGGGCTTATGGAAAAGCGAGGTGCCTCCCTAGGACAGGTCTGTGCCTTCCCCCAAGAACTGCAAGTCCCTAGGAAGCCCTCTAATCAAAAAGGGCTTATCAAAGAGATGAGAAGGACAGATAGCATCATTCAAATCAAGTGACATTATGGCAATAAAATATCCTGGTAACTCCAGCACAAAGAGGGAGGGAGATGTTCAGCAACCTCAAAGGCAGCAAATTCACCTCAAGATAGTTGAAAGACCTATATCATCTTCTATGCATCTAGTGGAAAATGCCAACTACGGAGTCTGTTCCAGTATAAATTACTGTGCATCGGGGTAGTAAAAGCAAGCAGCTGTACCAGCCCTTGGGGACTGGGAGCGGTTGGTCGATGGGAGCAACGTAAGAGTTGGCAACACTCACGTTGTTCGTTAAATGGCACATAGAAAACTGGCTGCCTTGGAGATAGTCTGCTCTGCAAACGCTAGCCATGTTTGCCAAGTTTTGTGCACAGAGATGAATTTAGGTCCGTAAGTATCAGAAAGGTTGAGGATGTGATAGTTAAACATATCCTGTGGGGTTCGCTAGACAAGAGCTTAGTTGCTTGTGCCATTAAAGCTAAGTGAAGGCTTCACAGCTCCACCAAATCTATGTGCCCTTAGTGCCCTGGAATAGATTGGTTGAATTTTACGGCAAGGTTGATTTTGGAACTAACGTGAGTGATATCAAGAACTGAGTCTGCACAGTTAATATTTTGACAGTGCAAAGTATTTATATTTAAACATGTCTAGGAAAAATATAGGGATAAAGGAGTATTTCTTACCCTCTTTGCAATGACCTGCATAGTCTGGACAGCATTTGCCGTATCTTTCACAGTCTGCATCGCAGTCGCACGGTCTTCCTCTTTCAAAGGTTTCAAAGCAACGTCCTTTACAGGAGAGTGCTACATAAGGCAGAACAGCGAGTTAGTGTTTTTGTCTGGTTCACGTTTAACACTGGGACCTTTCTATAGTGAAGTCATTAGCTTAAGCTGATTTAAAGAACAGCTTCATAAAACCGGCCCCCCCTTTTTTTTTTTTCAGTCTGATCCAGCGTCTGTTTCTGTAGTTGGTTCCAGTGGGTTTTGGATCAGACCACGTAACCAGAGCTGTGCTTGGAGCATTGTGGTATATTGAGACCATTCACAATTTATGGTGAGATAAAAATGTAACCTCGGAGTTCACTTTAGGTAGGTCCCATCATAGAAGATTTCTGTTTCCCTAATCAGATAACTGCTCTCTCAAGAACAAAATTTAAATTCAGCAAGAAAGTAATTCTGGGCCAGGTTTCGGAGAAGACCTTCATCTAGGGGCCACTTTGCATCACCAGTGTCATGTCTACCAAAGCATTTATAAAAAAGAATTTGCCTAAATAGATCGTGATTTAGTATACCCCTTAGTGCCTGTGCAAACACTGCAACTGAAACGTGGGAATGGCTCTATAAAGTTAAAGTGACTAGTCTTGACATTTTATCCCTATTTAGTACAGTTCTGGAATTATTAATATTAGAGAAGTACCATGTAACTTATAACTACATGCTTTTAATATGGCATTAGTGGCTAATTTCTAATACCTTCAATGGCTATAATGCTTCTGTTTTGTATTTTGTGTACTATTATATGTATTTATATAATTATATGACCAAATTGTTGGAAAGCATGTGCACAACCAGCTACAGCAAAACATGCTTGCTGTATTTCAAGGACAAAATTTGACTCTAAATGTTTACATTCCATTACAAGCTAGTTTTTACTGACATTCAGTAGTACCTTGAATAGGTATTTATTATAGGTATGTTAAGCTGAAGACATGTTAAGCTGAAGTTGATATTTCTGGAGGTTGCTTAGCATCTCGTGGAACTGGGCTGAGAATCAACTATCACCTGGTATTTCCAGAATTTTTTGATCACTTATTCTTGTCCTGTATCTTTTCTTTGCACGAATCTTATATTAAAGTCATTACTTTGGTGGCATTCAGAGCTTAAAACCACACTTTACATTTAAATAATTAAATAATTATCTAGTAAAATTAGGATTACCGCGTAGGTGGGTTCTGAACACCGTCTGAGCAGTGTAAATGCAGAGTGGGTCCAGGTGCATAGACCTGGACCTGCACATTTTTATTTTACGGTGTCGAGGCCATTTGCATTCATAAATGACTTCTGAAATGCCTGTAATGCCAGCATCAGTCACGCACTGACCGGAAAACAGTCCTTAACCAGCCTGCTTACACGCTTCAAGTATCGTGCCTACTGTGCTTGGCTTAATTCAGTGACTTAAGATTTTCTTAGAGATGTTACATAGATTGGCACCAGAGTAACAACCAAAAAAATTGGCTACATAATTGAAATGCCCCAGAATGTGCTTTCCCTTAGGAACAATGAAAAAATGTCAAAGTCGTGCTGCAAATCCAGATCACGACTGAGAAGACCAAAGCGACGGTGTTTCTAGCGTGTATGGCAGAGAAGGGTGAGATTATTAGCATTTAAGGTATTGCATTGCTGCATCTATGTTTTAAACAATACTGTGCTCGTATTGCTGGATCTAAGGAGTCTTATCCTAGGCCTTTAAGTTTATTAGAACTACAGTGCAGTGTAACAAACGGTAGTTATCCGAGTCACTAATATTTTTGACCCTGGTAATTCCTAATAAGATGCGTTTGATAAATTCTCTAGTAAAACAGTTTGAAATATCCATATTTGTTTAGGCTATGCCATTTTAAATTGCCTATAAATAAAGCATAGACAATAATAATACTTGTCCTACCAGCTTCTCCATCAAACCCCGTTGCATGAATTTTAGCTCTCTGCCTGAATTTTAGCAATAAAATTTTTCAGTCCCCTCCTGCCCCCAATCACTGGACCACATTGAAATAGCAATCTATTGGCAGTTTGCCCTATCATATCGATACGTGACTTGGGTTGCAGAATGGACGTGGATCTGATTCAGAGCTGGTTTCTGCCAATGGAAAGACTGTGTTTGCCTCCTCCTGACGCTGGGTCAGACCCTACCACCTCCACAGCTCTTCAAAACTTGAACTTGGGCTGTCCCAGAATTTCTCTCTGGCAAAGACCCTGACGCTTGGATTCTTACCTGAATTTGCTTTTAACAGATTTTTGGTACAAGAGACAAACAGACAAAAGTACAAATGCACCAAGGAGGAGCAACTAGGAAGCAGGTAGACTGTTCTCCCCCTCTTGCCCTGCTCTACCCTTCTGAAAAGCAAAGCCCTTTTCATGGCGATAACCTGCGGATGCAACATTTTCTCTCCGTGAGAGGTTATCGCTGACTTCTTGAGGGGGAGAACAACACGTATGTGAGAGGAGGACAAGGACACGCAGCAAAACAAAAGAAACGCAAGCGTTGGGAAGAGAGGCGCTGGTGCAAAGGGGAGTTTAAGCAAGCGGGCAGAGAGGTCTTGGAGGCAGGAGCTGGCTGTGCTTGAGGACTTACCCAGCGCGCAGACCTCCTTGAAGTCGGGGCAGCACTCCTTGAAGTGTTGGCAGCTATAGTCACACTGGCAGTCATTCTCTCTAGAAAACCCTTCCCCACATCTCCCTGCACAGCTCGATAAATCTAAAATCACACAACACCGGTGTAAACGTCGCCAGGCCAAGGCGGCGCGTACGGAGGCGCTGAATTTCACAATCAAGACCTGATACGGCTTGTGAAAGATATTTTTCTGGTGTTGGCAAATAAAAAGGAAAATGGTCTTCTGCTCCCACGGAAGTCCAAGGTCATTTATCACGGACTTCTTTAGGAGCAGAAGTCGGCCAAGCGTTCGGCTTGTGGGGGCAGCGCTGATGGCGCAGACCTAGAGCGGTGGCCTGAAGGTCGCAGCGAGCATCCCGGACAAAAGCGGAGAGGGGCCTGAGCTTGACAGCGCGGAGGCAGCGCTCAGCTGATCCTCCAGGTTTTGAGGCGTGCGGTTTGGTTCGGAATATTATGGGGAAAAAATACCATAGCTTGGGGAGACCTGGAGGTTGCAGCAGGGCGTTGCATCATTCATAAATGTGAATAAATTTCTCACTCTTTTTTCTCTCCTTCCATTGGTAAGTGAACCGATGGCTAAAAAAGGAGAGTGGCATTGCCTTGCTTGGGCTGTGAAGTGCGGATGCACGTGCGTGTGTACACGCGCTGTGCAAGGACTCGGATGCTTCACAGAAACGTGCCAAATTTTTTTTTTTTCATTTGATCATGAGTATAAGCACTAAACAAAGGGTATTGTATTAAATTAGTCTGTTTAGTACGACTTTGTAGCATATATATTTCGTAGCCCACCATCTCTTTATGGTGCCTAGGCATCCAGTGAAACTCATAGTCCTCTTCGTACTTCTGCACTCATGCTGATAATATAAACAAAATCGTGGCCTCAGCAGAAACCTTAACATTGTCACAACGTTTTGCAGAACTATATATATTTAACGCTATGTATGAGGCACTATGAATTTCTGCCTTTTGTTTTGGTAAATTCCAGAAAAAAGAGAACGTGTCTCTGACTGTAGAGAAAAATACCCTCCAGCTGGCCTTGCTCACAAGCTCTGCCTACAGTCTGAAGGGCAAGTTGATCCAAACTGATCGGAGTTAGCTTGGGCAGTTTATCAGCCAGGTGCCGTCTTGTTTTGCAGACTTATGCTCGGTCCTCATTTGTCCTAAAAGTGCTTCCAGAAGTGTAGCCGCACCAGCGTACCCCCTCAAGCTCGTTAGGTCTACCTGGTTTTTATTGTTGGTAGTCTTCTTCATGCTGCCCCAGTGAAAACAGTTCAGGCTGCAAACCGGTGAGCGCTGTCCTAAGAAATGCTCTTTACCCGGGAGCCGTTTTTATAGGCAGCTTTCAGACCCTGTCAGCCCTTTAACCTCGGGTCCGAGGGGGGAAGGAAAAAAACCAATGTGCGGTTGGTATCAGCTCTGAGGTGATGGGAAGAGCTGGGATCTCGCCCTGCAACGCTCGTCCGTGAGGACGTCGCTTAGCGGCGGAGCAGCGTAAACGCTCGTCTGACGACGGTTTTACGGCGAGACCCCTCCAGTGCTGCAAAATCCCGGGTGAGGGTCGCCAAGGTGCCAGAAGGTCTGCTGTCCCGCGGCCCGCAGCCACCTTTCGGGCTGCCGCGTGTTGCCCTCTAGGCCCAGAGCGCACGCTCGCCGTGGCGCGCGTGGTCCCCTGCCCGCGCGCCCGCCGCTTCTCCTCCCGGAGGTGGAGCGCGCCGGGGCGCCCCGTGAAGCATCCCTGAATACAAACACAGAGGCTGAACAACCAGCAAGCTAAAAAAGAGCTAAGGTGTCAGCTGAAACACTGAGCAACAACAACACCAGGAAACGACGAGAAATGACATGTAACACCACACCGAAGAGACAGCAACGGGTGAGGGCACACAGCGTGTGCGGGAAGGGAGACCTGGGGACAGCAAACGATTTCGCCCGCCAACGGCCGGC